CGGAAGAACTGGGACCGCGTCAACTGCAACAGTCGCAGGGGTGTCGTCCAGGGTGGAGCTGGACGACCCACATCGGCTTCGTGTTTGACCTGTACGAGATCGACGTGCGCCAATTCCTCCTGACATCCTCTTTCACGCAGTCCGGGATGCGCCGCGTCCTGGACAGCGTTCTCGACAGGCTCCAGTACATGCGCGACGGAGGCTGCGTTCACTCCGACCTCAAGCCCGCGAACATCCTGATTGGAGGATCGGCGCAGTGGCACGGCTGCTTTGAGGAGGAGGCACTGACAGCACGGTCGCCCGGCGAATGGGATCCCGTCGCGCCTGGCCCCGAGAGCAAGGTGGAGCTCGAGTGCATGATCCCGAGGTCCTTCGAGGCGCGAGCTAACGTAGCATGCGAGAGCCCCCAGGGAGATCTAACATAGAATGTAAGAGCTTCCACGGAGCTCTAACATAGCACGTTCGAGCTCCCAGGGAGCTCTAACATGGTACGTTAGAGCTCCCTGGGAGCTCTAACGTGCCATGTTTGAGCTCCTGGGAGCTCTACCATGCTATGTTCGAGCTCCCAGGGAGCCCTAACATAGCATGTTGGAGTTCCTGGGGAGCTCTAATATGCTATTTTCGAGCACACTAGCATAGCAGGTTAGAACTCAAATCGTCGTGGTCGTCGTCGTCGTCGTCGTCGTCGTCGCCGTCGCCGTCGCCGCCGTCGTCGTCGTCGTCGTCGTCGTCGCTCCCCTCTCCTCCATCCGCCCCTCTCCGCAGGTGGTGATCGCCGACCTCGGCAGCGTGGGGGTGGCGAACCCTCACCTCAGGTTGGCGAAGAAACTCCGCTCCAGCGACGACGACATCGGATTGCGCACGCCCAATGACAGACCACCAGACGTCTACTTGGGGAACCAGCGCTTTCAAGAAGACCCGGACACGTGGTCGTTAGGCTGCGCGGCCGTGGGGTTGTGGACGCGCAAGCCGGTGTTCGTCGTTCAAGGAGACCACGCGCCAGGGCCCGAGCGGCCACATGCGCGCCCGAAAGCGTTCGTGGATCGCATCAGGGAGGTCATGGGGGCCCCAGGCCTGGAGCCAGGGTCCGGACATTGCTGCGGTTATGAGGATCCCGCCCCGTGGCTGGGCCCCCTGCCATTCTTTCGTAAGTGGCGCAGGCGGTCGGGCGAGGATTGGCTAATGGCTGAAACAGCAAGGGCACTCGAGGGCCGAGGACAGTGGCCCGTTCCAGAACTCGAAGGCTGCCCCCCAGACTTCAAAAAGGTCGCCGAGATCTGCCTGAAGTGGCACCCAGGCGCCAGACCGACAATCAGCCGTGTAAGAGAGTGTCTCTTCCTGCAGCCGCCTGGCGCCCAGCTGCGCGCCCTCGTGGCCCTGCAGCGGGGCAAGGGCGGCGCGGGAACGATAGCGGAGGCAGACCTCGACCCTAACTTGCTCCGTTACTTGCAGACATGGCCCTCCTGGGACACCTTGGCCAAGCAGCGCTTCGACGCGGGCGCGACCGCCCCCAAATGCGTCCGAGGGGGGCGAGGCGGCAATGGGCCTCAAAACCGAGATCCCAGGCATCGTGGACGACGAACGCCCCCCGAAGTGCCGCAGCCTCCTCACGGGCAGTAGCTTGCGGCTCATCACCGCTTGGCCGCCATCGTGCGAGCGATGTGGAAGAAGCGGCGCTGGCGGCTGCAACAGCTGGGAGACAGGATGCGCGAGGCGGTCGCCGCCGACAAGATGCCAGACACCCTCGCCGAGGAGAGCGGACCGCCCATCCTGACAGAGAGCTTCGCCGACAACGCGTTCGCGTGCGTATCGATCCAGCTCATGAAGCCAGACGCACGGGCCGATGGTTGGCACGCTGATGGCGGCTGCTCTTTGCTGCGCGCGGCCGTGCCGCTTTTCGGCGCGCGCTCCGTGGAAGTGAAGTTCCGAGGCCAGCCGCAAGTCACCCTCGAGCAAAAGCCTGGGCCCCACTACGTGGGGGACCTGGCCGCCCTGGAGCACAACGTGCACCGCCGCGCCGCCGAGGACTGCAAGCACACCTTCGACACCGATCACGAGCTGCAGCAGCAGGTCGAAAACCGCAGGCTGCAGATCGCCGCAATGATCCGCTGCGGCATGTTTGGGGGGCTCAGGGCGCGCAAGGTCGACGCCGCGCCTGGCCCGAATGAGTTCTTCGCCATCGTGAACCACGCCGTGGCCGAGCAATTGGCCAATGTCCCCGTGGCGCTCCCTGACCTCACGGAGGTGCTGGACGAAGTGAGGGCCAGGCCCGCTGATGGGGATGGCCTGAGCGATTCGGCGCCGCCAGGTTCCCGCCTACACGCTGCAAAAGCTGGCTGGGACAGCTCAGTCTGAAAGATCGGCGCAGTCCTCTCGGACGCAGATCATGTGAGAAAGATCGTCGTCGTCATCATCATCATCGCAATCATCACCATTTTCATCGTCATCGCCATCATCATCACCACCACCATCATCACCGTCATCGCCATCACCAACATCATCATTCTCACGCCGTCATCCTCGTCATGAATGTCATGGTTCCGTCGAGCAAAATACGATGATGATGGTGACGATGACGACGATGACGATGGCGATGATGACGAGGGCGATTACGAGGTTGTTGGCGTTGATGATTAAAGTGGTGGTGATGGTAACCATGGTTCTGATGTTGTGTCAGTTCAGGCTTGAAAGCCCGCCCTACAAACGCTTGCGTCTCGCATGTTTTGTTGGATGGTGACTACGGCCCCGAAGTCGAGAGATTGTTTGTCCACCAGGTTTGACCACCGGGCCGCCCGTAGCCACGCGGCGCAAGCCAGCGGCGAGCCTGGGCCGAGGATGTTGTCCACCCCGAGCCCGACAATGGAGCCCGGCCCGACGTTTTTCGGCGACGCTGGGCCGACCCCGAGCCCGACGATCCCGCCCGAGCACAGCCCGACGCTCCTCGTCCCGACGAGGCCGCCCGACGCCCAGCCCGACGCCCGCCCGACGCTCCGTCCGTGCAGCCAGTGGAGCCCCACGGAGTACCTTGCGCTGACGAGCCCAGGCCCGCCGCCGACTGCGCCCCCGAGCTCGGGCGAGGCGGAGGTCCGGGGTGGCGGAGGCCGCCGAGGCGGCGGCGCGCAGCCTGTTCGACGCCACCCAGATGGGGGGCGGAGGCCGCCCAGATGGCCGAGGTGGCGGAGGCCGCCCTGGCGGCGGCGCGCGGCCTGTTCGACGCCGCCGAGGCGGCGGGGGAGGCGAAGGCGGAAAAGCACAGGCGCGATCGTTTCGAGCGCATGGCCGCGGCCAACGACACGATGCGCGAGGCGCTTGCGGAAACAGCGGGCGCGGTCGCCTGGACGGAGTGGCGCTGCGCCTTGCTGCGCGCGGCGGATAGGCTGTTGAACGACACGGGCGCGTCGTAGGCGGCCCTCGACGCCGACGACGACGACGAGTTCGTCGAGTACTTGTGGGACCCCCACGACCTACGACTGGGAGGAAGGCGTCGTCAGCCACGAGTGCGACGAGGACTTCTGGGACCCCCAGCGGAAGCGGAAGCGAGACGCCAAGACCACGCGCCACGCCATCTGCAATAATAAGAACCAAACATGGAGAAACAAGATTAGTCGACAGGCTGCAACAGCGATCAGTCGACATGCTGCATCAGCTCAGTTTTGCATTCCAGACGCGCCGTCGCCCCGCGCGTCGATGCCCAATCCTGAAAAAGTCATCACCATCATCATCAGTAGCATCATCATCTTCAACATCATCAACGTCGTCGCCGTCATCATCATCATCATCATGATCATCATCAATGCCATCATTATCACGCCGTTTTCTGTCACCAGTGTCAGCATTCATGCAGGGAATATACGATGATGATGGTGACGTTGACGAAGATGACGATGGCGATGATGATGGAAAACCATGGTGCTGACGAGGGCGATTACGAGGACGATGATGTTGATGACGTTGCTGATAAAATTGATGCTGATGATGCACACGATTTTGAGTTGAGTCAGTTGGGTCGCAAAACCCCGCCATCAAGGCAGCCAGCTGGGGGAAGGATAACCCCCTTCCCCAAACGGGAAGACGGGGGTTAGAAGAGGACGCCAGTTAAACCACTCACGCTATGAATGGCTGGTGGAATTTCGTACGAGGGGGAGGAGAAGAAAGAGGAGGAGGAGGAGGAGGAGGAGGAGGAGGAGGAGGAGGAGGAGGAGGAGGGGGAGGAGAAGAGGAGGGGGAGGAGGAGGATGAGGAGGAGGACGAGGAAGAGGAGGAGGAGGAATACGTGGGACAGGGGGACGAGGACGAGGCATAGGAGGAGGAGGAGGAGGAGGAGGAGGAGGAGGAGGAGGAGGAGGAGGAGGAGAAGCCGGAGGGTGAAGCGGAGGAGGAGGAGGATAACGAGGAGGACGAGGGGAGGCAAACTTAACGATCCCACGCCTCCGACGTCATGAGCTAGTTGTTCATTACGTCGACTGCCAGAGGTTTCGACCCAGTCCCTGGACCGGCTGTTCATTCTGAGCCATGTTTGCTGATGGTTTGGGGGCCCCCACGCGGCCCCCAGACGCGGAACATGACAACAAACACCTTCCCAGATGAATTGTTCGTGACCCGGAAGGTCGAGGAACATGGGGGGCGGCGGGGCGAGAGGGAGGAGACGGAGGAGGAGGAAACAAAACAAGGCGAATAAGGTGGAAAAAGAGAAAGAGAGAGAGAAAGAGAGAGAGAGAGAGAACTGAAGGATAGGAAAAGGAGCAGGAGGAGGAGGAGGAGGAAATTGATAATGATAAAGAGGAAGAGGGGGAGGCGGAGGAAGAGGAGAAGGAGGAAGAGGAGGAGGAGGAGGCGGACGAGGAGGACGAGCAGTAGGAGGAGGCGGGGGAGGAGGAGGAGGAGCAGGAGGAGGAGGAGGAGGAGGAGGAGGAGGAGGAGGCAATCGCAGCGAATGGCGGCAGTTGCAGGGGCAGCCGCGGCAGGGGGAGGGGGGTGGCACGGTGGGCTCAGAGCGCCAGGCGACGACGCAGGCCCTGGAGCAAAAGAAGGCCCCTGCGCCGCGCATCCCCCCTCTGCCCAAGGGGGGCTAGGTGGTACGTGTCCAGGAACATTCTTCACGTCCACGACGGGGGTCGGCCCGACTCCTGAACACGGGCAGGGGCTGGACAGGAACCCCCTGTGCTATTGATCTGCACCCCCCCCGGATCCAGGGTGAGGATCACTTCTTGCGGCAGTCTGGGACTCCCGGACGGGGTTCGAGTAGATGGTCAAATGCATGCATCGCATTGTTGATGCATCGGCGATGCGGCTCGATGTGGAGCCCGATTTTCTCAGCGGTGGCACCGCCGATGCGCCACGGACGTCGCCGATGCGTCGCTGGTGCTTCGATGATGTATCGGCGACGCATCTGCGATGCGGCGCGATCCCCCGACCCCATGTACTCGGGCCCCGTGTCAGAGGCCCCTAGCCCAGGGGCAGCGGTTTGGGGGGATAGGCTCAAAGCCGGCAGGCATGTGCGCAGGCTTCGGGGTTGGAGGTTTTCAGGCGGTTTCGTCGGTTCTCGGAAGTTTGCCCTGCTCGGGATGCCTTGCAGCAGCTGCGCGTCGTCGGGAGCGTTTCCGGGGGTGCCCAGATCGTGCCAAACGGTCGCCTGAGGCGCGAGCCACTGCCCGAAAAACAGTCGGGGGCAATGTCAAGGGGGGAATAGGCTCAGGGGGGGATGCACTTACCCCCACTCGCCCATTGATCGCCGATAGGGGCCTGATAGTCCACCCCGCTCAGAAACGTATATATTCACTATCGGGGGCCTAACGCCGATCCATCGGCGATGTATCGCCGATTCCATGTCGTTGTTTCCCCCCCTGCGGGGACCCCATTTATCGTTGCCTCTCATCGACCTCAACTTTCGGAGCTCCGCGCGGATCTCTTGAATCGGCGCTCGGCTTCCCTGGCGTCGCCTCAGGCGTCGCCCCTGGCCCGCTCCGCGCGCCAGGGAGGGGGAGTCGGCGCAGTTTCAGGAAATCCCCGCGGGCCCCCTGGCATTATACACCCACACATATATGTATACATATATATATATATATATATATATTATATATATATATATTATATATGCACCTCTCTATCCCCATTCGCGCCCGCTACGCAGTCGTCTGCAGCTTCTCGGCCCGATAGCTGCCCCGCTCGCCCCCCACTCCCCTCCCCGCGCGCGCGCGGCCGGGGCGCCAGGGGCCCGCGGGGCCATCGCCGTTCAGGTTTCCTCGACACCTACGCGGCGATCGTCGGCTCCGGGTTCGCCACCCCGCGCTGGCCCAAGTCGGTCGGGCCGGCGCCTGTGGCCCGTACGACGAGAGCGAGCGTCGGGGCCGACCGTCCGTTCTGAGCGGTGGTCGGTCGGGCAGGCGCGCCTTTCGGCACCCTGCCTGCCGTGGCCACCGGGCCTTGCTAGCACCGTCGCCGCTCGCTCTTCGGCGGGCGGTGCGGACAGGGCCCATGCCACGTCCTGCCGTTGGCAGGTCTCTCCAGCCTGCACCAGTCTGGTGGTCTTCGGCGCTCTCCACGCCGACTTCGGCGCAAAACTCCTCTCCCTCCTCCTTCGCCTTCTCCCCCTTGGCCTTTGGGGCGGCGGAGCAGGAGGCCCATCTGAGGAGAGGAGTAGGAGGGGGGCCTCACACGCCGCAGCGCCACGCCTTGCGTCGTGGCGCAGCGCCAGCCCTCGTCTCGGGCGTTCAATGTGCCGCCGCGCCTGGGGTCTCAGCCGCCGCTTCTACGCAAGACTTTCAGCCGCCGCGACAGAGACGCCCGACGGAGGGCACGGTGGCCAAAGGCGCTCCGACGCGCCGCCCAAGGGCTTCAGCCGCCGCGCAAGCCATGCCCGCCATTCCTGCTGCCAGCGAACCCAAGGCCAGCGTGTTCAACGCCGAAGCACCAGAGGGGTGCCCTGCGAAGATAACTGCGCTCTTGGGAAGGGAAGTGGTGGACGAGGATCTCTCTTACCTCCCCCCAACTCCTTCTCCTTGCCTCTACTTCGCCACCTGGCTCACCTGTGCCGCTAAGCATGGCGACCACTTTGTGGGCCCCGCCTGCTCCACCGTGGGCGGGGGAGCGTCACTCGCGGGGCACACGGGCTCTGCCGCCGCCTCGGTTTCCTGGCCTTCGGCTGGAGGCATCGCCGCGGCCACTTCTGCCGACGATGCTGCTCGGACCGCCGGGGGCGGATACATTCGCGCACCTCCAGGCTTGGACCCGCTGCCTCCTGGGCCTCCGGTCAGGCAGATTGGGCCGCCTCCGGGCCTTGACGTCTTGGAGGTTGGTTCCCAGAGGCTCAGTGCGGCATGCCCGCGCCGTGGCGCTGCTGCGGCTTGGAGCCCCACGGTCGTCTATCAGGTCCGACCTGGGGCCACGGCGTCAGAGGCCGCGCTTCCTCTACTGAGGACGCCGCCTCCGCCGCCACAGGGTCGCCCCTGGAGCGGTGCGTTGGCCCTGGTGGAGGCGGGGTGCTCCGTCGTCCCTCCTCGGGGTTCTTCGGCGGCCATGTCCGACTGCGGCCTTGACGGGGGTAGTCCCTCCTTTTCGGGGGCGGCGCCGCGGTGTGGCTCGAAAGGGGTTGGCATGCGCCCTGCCAGCGATGCTGATACGGCCCCGCAGGGAGGGGCTCGTACCGCCCCCCCAGCCGCCACCGCAGTCCACCAGCCTGGCACCCCGCCGCGGAGCGGCCCCAGGGCCACCTCGGCCTTACGCGCCGACCTCCACTTGTGGGACCTGCACACGGGCTCCGACACTCAGGGTGTGGATCCGCCGCCAGGCCTCTCCGGCTCCGAAGCAGGCTCACGGGTGCCGCCTTTGGTCGCCCTCCGCGCGGCCCTTGCCTCGGATGGGGTGCAGCTGTTTAGCAGCGGGAGTATGCCGTGCACTGCGGCGTCGCCACTTCTGTCCGAGCGCTTCACGGTCGCCGACGGTGACCGCGCGGCCAGCGGAACACCCCTGAGCGCGGACTGGCATCGTGTCTCCGGGGATTCGCCCTCCCAGGCCAGGCAACTGAGGCCACCGTCCGGAGTTGCCGTCCCAGAAGCGGATGTTCATGCGCCGCCGCCGCTCCACCGTAGCGCGGTTGGTCCCGCCTCACTTCGGGCGGGCGCTGCCCGTGGGCGCATGTGGTATGGTGAGCGTGCAGGGCTCCTGCCTTTCACTAACCTCGAGGGCGGTGTCGGCGCGCCAGCTGCCGGAGGGCCACCTCCCCAGTCAAGCGCCCGCGAAGGGTTGCGCTCGCTCGGGCGACTCGGCGATGCGACCTTGTCTCTGTTAGCCCCTCCACGTCACGAGGCGGCGGTTGCGACGGCGCCCGCCGCCGTCGCCGCTGTTTCTCTGGGGGCTGTCGCAGCGACTGCTCGCCAGGCGACTCCTTTGCCCGCCGCAGCCGCGTTCGGTAGCGGAGGAAGTGGGGTCGCGTCGAGTGGCTCCACCGCGGCCTCTGTTCCCGCTGCCTCCGCAGGCGAGCCCCCGCTGTCGTTCAAAGGAGTCACTGCTGCAAACGCGGGGCTTCCTGCGAGCGGAGTGGCTCGCTGGGGCCTTCGCGACCCGCCGCGGTCGCTCGGGGTTCGCGCGGATCCCCCCGCATCCCCGCCAGGTCCATCTTCGGCGCCGGCGGAAACCACTCAGAGCGCCTCTGCTGCGAGCGCAGGGCCCCTGGCGAGCAATGCGTCCAGCTCGAGCCCTCGCGACCTGCCGTGGTCGATCGGGGTACGTGGGGCCCCCCCCGCGTCCCTGCCAGGCTCGTCCCCTTCGTTGGCGGACGCCCTCCGGAAGTCGGCGATTCCCTGCCTAGGGGCCTCACCCCTGCCTCCAAGGGAGCCGCTTGCGGTCAGTGCCTCCAGTGCGAGCGCCCACGCCATCTTGCACCCGCTCGGGCTGCTCGGGAATCCAACCTCGGCGTCGACGGACCCCGCGTCCCTGCCAGTGTCGGCCCCCTTGTTGTCAGGCGCTACGCGGCATGTTTCTGCTGCTGCTGCAGATGGTTTCGGGGTAGCTGGTACCTGCCTGCCGGGCGCCGCTGCTTCGGCGCCACAGAGCACGGGTCGCACCGATCCCTCAGCCCCCGCCGCAGCTCGCGATTTGGGCACGCCGCCGCAAAGCTGTCCTATGGCCACTTCGCCGTGTCTTCCAGGCTTCCTGCCCCCACCAGGGCTGGAGCCGCCGTCACGGCCGTGTGCCTCGCGTCGCTCTGGGGGCGCCCTCCGCGAGGCTAGAGGCGCTCCAGCCCTTCGCCGACGTGGCGGTTCGTCTGGGTTTACTGCCATTCGGGATCGCGGCCACGTTGGCCAGGGCACCTGCGCCACCTCATCGCGTCCAGCTGCGCGCTGGGACCCCAGCTTCGGCGCTCGTCTCAGCGTGGGGGAAGGCTCGGTCGAACGCCCCTCCGCCGGCGCTCCCGTCTGCCCCTCCCGCGCGCGTCCCCCCGCCACTTGGGCGGGCCGACCCCGCTGCGGTCGCCGGCTCCGCCGAGGGGGTCGCAGGGGACGCACTGGGGCTGCCTGCCGAGGCGCCCCAGAGGGCTCTCGATCTGGCTTTCATCTGCCAGCGGGAGGCGCTGCAGCGGTGCATGTTCATCGTCCAGCTGGTGGGGGGCCGCGGCTACCTCGGAACCGCATGGTTCCTCACGGGGATCAAGCCCCCCCCGTGTCGCGTGACCTGGTGCGGGTGGCGGCAGGCCCTTGCCGCGCCCGTTCCGCCGGCTCCCAGGCCGCCGGCGGAGCCGCCCTCCACGGCGGCGCATCCCACCACAGGGGTGGACGCACGCGAGCTGCGTGCACCGGCCGAGGGTTCACGCAGCGGCGAGTCGCTGTAAGCGACGACGCTGCTGCTGCCAGGCGTGCCTGGGCTGAGCGAGGCCGTGAGAGTAGGCACGCGCTCCTCCAGCGATGCTGTTGCGGCCCCGCAGGGAGGAGTTCGTGCCGCTGTCGCGACTCTCGCTCTACCCCTGGCTCCCCTTCAGGGCCGAGTGGCCATTTTGGCAATTTTCACCGTGCCGCCTCTACAGGTGCTGGTTCAGG